GGAGTTGGATATGATTATCTGCGTGTCGCGGGCTTTGGATAACCATTTCTGTTCCTGTATTCGAAATTCATTGTCATCGGCATCAATTTCATTGTGTGCTGCACCGGAAGAGGCTGATCGTGTATTCGGACGGGAAGCATGCGTGTAATAATTAGCAATAGGTTTCTTCCAAGTGCCATCAGCGATACTTAAAACGCCAGCGTTTATTAAAGCAATCTCGCAAGTAATCCGCCACTCTGTGAATGTTCCGAGGCTCAGAATCACAATGTTCCCCCAATTAGATTTGTACTGTGGAAGACCGTCGTGATTGCGGGTGTCTTTTATTTCTGTAGTAAATGAAGACATTGCTGCAGATTGTTCGAAAAAGGAAGCCGATGAATAATTAGACACCGGTCTCATAACCTGTTGGGATATTGAGAAAGTATAGTCACGGGAGTAAGATAATGCAGATAGTAATATACGATATGTGAGGAATTGTATAGATTTAGGACTAAGGGTGTGTAGTGATAAAGGTGTTCTGTACTAATGATGTGGACACCTTTCACTTGACCAACTAGCTGACTAAGCAGCATTTCCTGACATTAGTTTCACTTCGGTAGTCACTGGAATCTACGCGCTCTACAACCTCAATGACTGAGGGTTCCTTATTTCTTTAATAATCTAGTGTGTTTTAGTTTCTAGTCATAACACACAATCGCTGCTTCATGTAAGTACTGGATAAACTTTTTAACGTTGAGTCCCTGATTATATGGGTTTCCGTTCGAAAATACCACTATGCGCTACGTTTGATTACACATACGGTCAAAAGTCGTCCGTGAGTACCCATCCAAGGTAGGTTTCAAAACTATTGCGTATCAAAGCTCGCCAACACAGCGAAAAATGTGGTCGAGCTATACGGCAGAGACTTCGCATTTGTGGTTCATAATAATGAGTCCAAAAATGAATTCATATTTTACGGGAAAATAATGATAATAATAATTCATCATCCTGATTTGGCGCCTTAAGGCCCATGCTGGTATTTATCGGAAGATATGTACTTCAAGTAGGATGACTCAATTTGACGTTTAGAACACTCACACTCAGATTTAATTTGCAGATACCACTCAAGGTTAACCCTTACGGCATATAATTTCTTCCGTGCATACCCACCAAATGGAAATGCGTGAAAACCCTATGGCTATCCGAGTGTGCTTTCATCATCCCACAAGTACCATATTACCGCGAGAGAGAGAGGGGTTTTTTTTTTTTTTGCATCAGATTTTAATTGCGTATGCAGCTATCTAGCTATGACACAATATCAAAGAAAAGTATAGAATAGATAATTCAACGTATAGGAAGAGCACTCATGCTTCAGATTTCATTTGCAAGTACCATTGCGAAGTTATGGTGGCTTTTTCTTCACCCCAAGTCAACCCTCATCCGTAAATACCCACCCATGGAAACGTCTCAAAAACCCCGAGTCATCCAGACATGTCTCCATATTCTTTCAACTTATCTCCGCGCGAAATATGGTCTGAGGCGTCTCCTTCCCAAGTGAAGTAGGTGCCCAGGCTACCCAGACTATACTGGAGAACACCATCAGGAGGCGGACCGCGGCACCTTCCATCGTTCGCTTGTTTTTATAGTGTCAGCTGCACTCTCGCAAGCGAAGTCTTGCGCGCACAAAGTTCAACTCGTAAAACTCTTGCCAAAATTCGAAATTTCACGCCCGTCGAAAACGTATCCCTCTTCTGCATCATCTTGTAAACTTGTCCTGATTCCTCTCACGTCTATCCCACAGAGCTATCTCCCAGATTTGTGCTCTACGCTTTGCTTCCTCCGTCGGGTATCAATATCGGCGTGGGCGTGTATTTGGTGGTCAACTGAGGCCAGAGAAATTCGACGGGAGGAGTGGTCATTGAAACGAGGATGTACTAGGTCGTACTTGTAGACTTGATGAAGCTTAGTTGAGAATCGTACTCTTTGGGAGTGAAAGATTGACATGGTGGAGTAATTTGAATTTTTTCCTCGTGGGCCAACATCTTTGATATTGCGAAATTTGACTGAACTTGGCTCTGGGAGAATATTTCATTCCCAGGTTCGTAGAGGACACTGCGTACAGGTGTTCTGTCTTGCCCTCCAGAGAGGGGTGTGTGGGTCTGGCTGGATTCGAACCAGCTTTCTCCTGTCTCGAATGGGTTAGGTGTTCAATCTACCCAGTTTCTACTTGGGAGAGCGGCCCGGATTGTGTACCATTGCACTATCCAACTTTTTACAGGGGAATAATTTGTTCCCATCGAGCGCGTATTCCCGTGGCACTAGGGCGCTCTTGTTCATAACAGGAGCCGGATAGTTCCAAATCCACGTACAAGGCTACAGCCTATAACAGTCATGATGGATTCGATCCGGCAGTCTCGTGATTCAATTAAAATTATTTCCAAGCTTTCCAAGATATACTTAGGAGACCGGCTTAGATAATATGCTACCATATCATTCAATCATGGCGGTGTTAATGGCGTTGCTTGCACTCTCAAAATCAAAGGCTTGGCGCAAATAGTGCTCTTCAATTTAAAAAGTTTCTTGCCAAACTCTAGATCTTGTTGGAAAATCGGTATGGGTTCGATGAGTAAGTCGGCACAAAGAATATGGGCGCGATTTTATGAATAGAATAATAATGATATGAATCGGGAGAATATGTGATAAACTGTGGAGAAATAAAAGATGGATTGAATGATTTGATTTGATTATCTGTCTTGGTGATTCCTAGACAGCTTATATACATGTATACTCGATATACCAAATCCAAACTAGATACCATCCATCACTCGTTCCATACTCTAACAATGACAATGAAACGCACGACAGTATACAACATGAGTATGGGGTCAGGGTCGGTGGATGAAAGCCTACACAGGTATCAAACCATACCATCCGCTGGTCGAGTCTCACGCACCAAACATGCTTAATAAAGAAGATATCAATCGTCTTGGTCGAGAGTCAAGCCGTGAGTCATGTGTGAGAATCTTAGTTGTTCCAATCATAGGGAAACTTCAGACACATAGAGTCTGAATTTCTAACGGATCTCTAACCCGTCGTGACTGTATCTATACTCTGTATCATTTTATGAACTTGTACTGATTTCTTTAACGTCCATCCCAAAGAGCTGCCTCAGAGACTTTTGTATCATTGTTGTCCTCCTGCGGGTATTCATATTATTGTGGCTGTTAACTTGTCAGCTGGCTAAAGCAAGAGCAAATCCAGTAAAAGGCGTTGCTATTCAAAGGAGGAGATTCTAAATCATACTTGTAAACTTGATGAGGCTTAGTTAGGAATCGACCTTGTTGGGAGTATGATATTGACATTGTGGAGTATTTTCAATCATCGCTTCCTAGATCTACTTGTTTGGTATTGCGAAATATGACTAAACTTGGCTATGGGAGGATATTTTGCTCCAAAGTTTGTGAGGACACTGCTGACAGGTTTTCAGTCTTTGATCTCCAACGCAAATGAAATTTTATCTGTGTATAATAATGTGCCAGGCAATTGTCATGCTATGCACTTCTGTGGGAGCTTGAGTACAAGAGTAGCCGGGTTATATTAGTTTATCCACATTTAAGTGAATGAATTTCGTCCCATTTGGGAGTTCGAACTTAGAGTTTAGCCCATATAATTGATCGTGTAGAGCACGACAGTCGAAGGTAACTCATCTTTAAGCACCGAAGCACTAATCTCTTCCAATCTCGAACAATTTGCACATAAAATTTTAGCGTCTTATTGGTATTTGCTTTTGTCGGTCCTTCCAGTTACAGCTTTGTTTTTCCCAGTATCTCCTCATTAAGTCCAGAGCCCATTTTCAGATTTGGATGCATAATACATTTGTCCAGCAACGCCTTTTGTGTTTTACTCCTCTTCAACTCCCCTATAGTAAAATCTCCTTGATAAGTTCACAACTATTTCCAACTGAAGATCTTTGAGGCTGAAAGCCATTAAGCTCTATCTTACAACGTCGCTTCCGTAAGTCTACCCGCGCATGAGGACACGGCGGATGGGAGCTTATGCTTTAGAGGCCCCAGTTTTTGTCGAATGCTATAGATAAAGGTTTTAATTATGAAAGACGGCATGAAAATTAACCCTCAAAAATAAATGATATGACAATGAGTTTCTCTGTGGTAATAAACAGTAGATGTGTATCAAACAGGAATACTGATAGGGGGGCTGCAAAATAAACGCTGAGGATCGCGGGACGTATTTATCAAGCACGGGCTTTCTACGAAAAATGTTTGGCGTAAGTAGTCTCCAGTGTACGAATTCTTTCAGAAAAACTTTTCATTCATTTTTGTTCGAGTAATATAAGTAATTAAATTTATTGGTTTGTGCAGTCAGAAATATGTGAAAGTTGGGGCATCGAGTCAAATAAATGAATGTGATTCTTTTTGTAAATGCTCAAATTAGCTTTTTTAAACTGATTCTTGGGTGTCGACTGAAGATTAACGGTCCAATTCTAGGTCCGCGGGCAAATTCACAAGTAAGTAATTATCGCTTTTCTTTGAGTCGTGTCCGACGCACCAGTAAAAATTTTAGTTGACATGGGTCATACACAAAGAGTTTGTGTGTAGGATTTGCTTCGCTCATATTAATTGAGAGTTTGATTTAGAATAGATGTTATTTTAGTACTATCGATAGCATTTGCGAATCATGATCAGTTGGAGACATTAGTGCGGAAAATTGTGTTATTATTTTAGAGATGAAGGATTGGTGCCTTGGCATAGACAAGCTAGTCATAACTTACCAGACTTAGCTAGGAAAGTAGTCGTCATCCCCTTTCAACGGGATGGAGCTACATCATGATTAGCTGATTATCAACCTCAGGCGATGGTCATTCATTAATTCCACGAGCTATCAGAATATCTTGACGAGAGGCTGGTAACGCGTGCCGGATAATAATCTTTGTTGCGAGAACCTCTTCTTTTCCTAGGCGCCTACAATTAAGACATTAACATTGAATACGGTTTATCGTTGTTATGGCTCCGCCTAAGCAGCGGAAGATTGCTCTCGTTGGAAGTCGCTCTGTTGGTATGTACTTTGAATGAAAGCAATTTCTAAGATATTCTTGAATGTTTAAGTATTCGTTGTTATCTTAAATACTGATTACTTGTCTCGTATGGCAGGCAAGTCCTCACTCACTGTGCAATTTGTCGACGGGCATTTCGTCGAGAGCTATTACCCTACTATCGAAAATACGTTCAGTAAAGTAATCAAATACCAAGGACAGGAATATGCTACAGAGATCATTGATACGGCGGGTCAGGTTAGTGTATTCTAGCGCTCAACTAACCACTTCACGTGAGCTAAGATCACTAACAAAGCAATGGCAGGATGAATATAGTATATTAAACTCAAAACATTTCATAGGCATTCATGGCTACATGTTAGTCTATTCAGTTGCAAGCACTCAAAGTTTCGATATGATGCAAGTCATACGCGATAGGATACTCAACCACTTAGTTCGTCTTCCTCTCTTTCTTAGCACACAACCCAAGTTCCCCAAATTGACCACTTAAGTAGGGTACCGAATGGGCACCTGTCGTATTGGTAGGTAACAAGAGCGACTTGAGACCAGATCAGAGACAAGTGTCTGTTGAAGACGGCAAACAATTAGCCGTCTCATTTGAATGTGCGCATGTAGAGACGTCGGCTAGATACAATGAGAATGTCACCAAGGCTTTTGAGCTCATGATTGGACAGATAGAAAAGGGCCAAAATCAGACAGAGATTAAAAGGACAAGTAAATGCCTAGTCATGTAGAACAGTTCATTATACTTTTCCTGTAAAAAAATCGGCATAATTGTGATAGGAGTCATATTTAATAATAACATCCAGGCAACGAGGTCTTTCATAATCATAGACTCAGTAGGGACTCTAGATTCTATTCTAATCTAATCTAATCTAATCTATTCTATTCTATCCAGGAAACTATATTCTGATTTAAGTACATGGGACCAAGACCCAATACTTGTCCATTATATTAAAACTAAACTGTCAATAAGATTATCTGTTCATGATATGTATACAAAAACCCTTTGAAAGTTATCTGCATGCAGGTCAAGCATATCTATTCAAGTTTCACATTCCATCCTTTGCAACAGTTCATATTTGCTCGCATATTTCGAGGATAAAAACTGCAATTACTGTCAATCACTGAGATTAATTACCCATCCTCATTGAAAGTTTCCATTTCGATATCACGATTTGTTGCTGTTCTTGCGAAGACGTAAGCCCATTGAGGATTCCGAAATCCGATTCCGAGCGGAACGCCAAGTTTCGCAGTCAGCGAGATGCCGAATCTCGAGAATAAATCGTAGTTTCCCGCATTCTTTGGTCACAATCCGGGCGACTAAATGACCCACTCGTTTTCTACTATATTCTGATAGTTTACTTTGCCATGTATTATTGATCATTAAATTTTCTGTAATATGGTTGATTTTATGTATTCAAGGAGGGGAGGGAGAGGTGTAATTATTGCACTACTTAAGTCTTAGACTATCTAGCACATTGGGCTCCTCTCTAGCCCAGGCCACACCTTGTACGGTGCTCCTTGCCTCTCATATTTCTTGAATATCATTGATATCTTGTCCTTGATGAATAGCAATTCAGCTCAGTGTCTACCCGTGGAATTCGGCCACCTTTTCCACAGAATCTTCTACCAAAAAAAAAGTAGCATTGGAAACTATGTGCATAGGAAAAGTCTCAAATAACCTGCAGCCCCAGCCAGGCGAGGCCTAGACACCGGGACCACATGAGGTGCGCATATTCATCTATATCTCCTTTCTTTGTAACTGTCGAGGCCGACTTGATCTAATTCACCATTTCCGAATCGGGTGCTGGATACGTACTAGAAACTCATCGGATGGATTTTCCAACATGATCAAGGGTTGGTTATGAGAAGGGCTTCGGCCTTGATATCTGATCCCATCATGGTAATGGTGATTTGGGATGTGTTGAAAGATGAATACGATACAAACAGCGAAAGCGATTGGGAATCCTCATTGAAGTAGGGACTTTGCTACTCAATCTCGGCTCTGCAGACTCTACGGTGAGAGCTGGAGGCTCGGAGGGGACACCACTGACAGGTGTTGAAATGTTAATATAAATACAAGTTTACATTTAGTCTCAAGCTTTACACACATATAGATTGTAGTAGTGGAAGCTATGAGACACCCGTGAATTTCACAATCAAAATTTATTATTTAATTCTTACTAACGTGCACATGAAACCTCACCATCCTAGCTAGCCCTTCCAAGGTGTCTGCTACGAAAATTAGTCCCGGCCCGCACGGGCCATGGTAACTTTAATATTTTCCTTCCTTCCGGTTTTAGATATTGGTGTAGCTATCTTGATGACTTGATTTCAGAGAAGAAGTAAAGATAAGATGACTCAATTCATGGTAACTTCGTGATACAACACTGCCAATTTAATTTCTCCGACATTTCTTTGGAATGTGCCTGCGCGGAAGGGACTACTCCAACATAGCCCATTCATTATCATCTACTTGCGCACGTCACGAGTAGGCCCAGGGGTTCAATGACTCACCGAACCTTTATCTGCAAGCTTACAGGTCTAAATTATCTCCAAAGCTTTTCTCAATTTTTGCAGGAAGTCGGCTGTCTCGAAAACAAAACTGATAGCCCGGTTACTGTTCTCCGCAGGGACCAGATAATTATATCGTCACTAACGCCATAGTAGGAAAAGAAATGGCGCGAAAAGCTTCATTTTTCGGGCAACAAACTGATTGAATTTTTAGATATAGGAGTCTGAGCTTAGTTTTAAGTCATTGTATCTATTTTAATTAACTAATCCGAACTGCTGATGCTGCCCGAACGTTTCTCACGAAAGTTATTAAATATTTTTTAAATCATAGGAATAGATTTGTAGAAGCTCGTCAAGCTCGGACCTAGTTCTTTGTAGGAATACTCTCGCATACAGTACCCTAATCATGATTGGAGTAAACTTAACCCTGAAACTAATCAGGAAGGAACTTTGGATTAGTCATGCACTTGTCACGGAAGGAAAGGTGGCCAGAGCCATTGTAGTAATCATTCCTGCGTAATGTTAATTTAGATAGCAGTCCTGGGATAGAGATAGTCTGTATAAATATACTTAATAAAATTTATTTGTTAATTTTCCCCACAGAATACCTACGATAGCCGTCGCTTTAATAATGAGAAACAACGTTTTTGAATTTCTTGACAACGAGTGGCTCGAGAGTTCACAAAACAGAGGAAAACGGCTTCAAACGCGTTGCGCAACGCGGCACAAAAGGACACATAAAGTGAATGGGGACAATCTCAACCATACAAAACTGCAGAACTAGATATATTTTAGGCTATTCTGATCAAGATGAAAGGTGGTCTCACAGGCATCGCGATGACATGTTCTAGAGTCGCAGCCACTGAGGTCGATGAGATGATTAAAGCCTTAAAAGCTCATCGTAAGAAGTGATAAGAAGCTTCGCAAAAGCAAACTCTCGCCAAGGAGCGATAAATGCCTTGGAGAAAGCGGTCTTAAAGGATCGTCAGGGCTTATTCGATCGAACTGGGCCGACGCCTGTTTTTGTTTTTTTTTGTTTTTTACATTTGGTCCTAAGCTAACGCTATCTTTTCCACATTGGGTCAAGGACCGGTGGAGCCGGCAAGGATCACTGCGTACAGGCCCAACTCATTCCAACCGCATGAACTTCTACTGAAATTGTAGAAGTTAACAGCAAAACTAAAATCAAAAACATAAATCAAAAACTGAAATCAGATTTGGAAGAAATACTGTTTGGTCCGGATCCCGCGCTTCTCGCCCGTTCCCTTTACTGCCACATCTTCCAGATGACTTTTTCTTATCTCCGCTGAGAGCGAAAGACTAGTTCGCAGATACCCTGAATTCAGCTGGTATCCTGCCATATACTTTGAAGCTTTTTGTAGACTTCACCGAGGGTTGCTGTACCCTCAAACTTCTTCTTCGGATTCCAGGATTCCGAAACCCGATCCCTCGGCCATCGAGACATCCTTCGTTGAGGCCATCGTTGCCTCTTCGGCCCTTTTGGCTGCAGCCCTAAATCGAGCCACTTTCGCGAACTCCCCTTGCTGGATCTGGCGGATCCGCGCGAGCTGCTCTTTTGTCACCGGTCCGGACTTGCTGGGTCTGGCTAAGCAGGCCCGGGAATCCGATCGGTGAGGTCCCCCACAGTTTCGACACCGGGTGAGGGCCTTGCACTCTGATTCTGAGTGCATATTAGATCCGCAATTCCAGCAAGCTGGAGCGCGGGAACAACCACGGGTGGCGTGAAATTCAAGACACCGTTTGCATTGTTCGATTTTGCGACGAGGTCGGAAGAGCTTTGCAGCTCCAGAGTCGTCGAAAAGGCGGAATCCAGGTCGAGGAGCGGATTCTCGGGGAAATAGCGCTTGCCAATTTGAGTAGGGCGCCCCTGGTTTGCTAGTCCCATGAGGACAAACCAGAAAGGGAACCAACTGGGTCACTCGCGTGACTTCGTCGGCAACCATCTTTGCCGTCACGGCGATTGGGCCAGCAAGAGTTCGAATTGTCTCCGGGACGGTGGCAATTTGCATGGCAACCAGATTTGATGCTGGTTCCAGTTTGATTCCAGATTCGCTCCGTGATGTGGAGGAATCTAGGAGCTCTGTTCGAGCGAGTTCATCCTTTGCGGTTATTGCAAAGCCGGTCTTTACCCGCTGAACCAACGTGATATTGTTGGCAGCGGTTCCCAGCGCCTGAGACACCGCTAGCCTTACTCCAGCTGGGGAGAGGAGACGGTGGGGGTGGAAGTAGTCAAGGCGCAGAAAAAGTCGTGAATCGGCTTTTGACCTCGAGTTGGCACTCTTTGCTTTGGGGGCGGGTGGTGCTGCCTTTTTTGTCGATGGCCCAGCGCTACTGACTAGGCCTGCCCGAGCTACGGTGGCCCAAGTTGTCTTTGGGGCCGGAGCCTGGATTGTTGGAGGGTTAGGAACCCTTATTTCTGGTGCCCTCGGCGGAAGAGGGTTGGCGGGGCGAGCAGGGAGAACTGGCGGTGTGCTCCCTGGGCCAGATTGTACGAACTGGCCGATGGCTGCTCGAAGATAGACTTTGATTCCGTCTACAAATTCTTTATTATCGCCAATCGAAAGAGGCGAAAGTGCTACTTCGACACCGCTGATTGCAGTCGAGCAGATTGCGAGTCGGGCGTTTATTTGCGTCGTGCGACGCTTTTCGGCCTCCATCACTGATTGCAGCTCTGGTGGAAACTCCATTGCTGATGTCGATGCTGCGCCTTTAGAGGCTGGCACAGCATTGTTTCCTGCAGATGATTCTGCAGGCCGACGCCTGTGTTTGTTTGTTTGTTCATTAACGTGCTAGGTGAAGTAACTACCGTCGCACTCCTACTGGAGCTTGAGCACGAGTGGGGTCGGGCCGGATCAGGTTAACTACCGTGCAGTACAAATGCCTCGTCCCACCTAAATGACCGGAACCATGCCAAAATGCATCTTTGTGTTGAACCATGACGAATTCGGCAGCCCAGAATTGAAAACAAAACAAAAACTTTCCCGCGAAATCCCGCATTACAAAAGAAAAACTTCAACAATCTCCCTTCCACTGTTCCGCCTCAGCCACCACGCGCCTGAGCCTCGAATCTAATCTCTCTGTCCATGCCAAACCACCTAGGCCTTTGATCTATCACCTCAGAGTCACAGGTATCCCTGCCATCCCCCTACTAGCCTCCGCGTATATTCCACTCTCCTGGACGTAGTCCCTGAACAGC